GCATTTAATTAACTTTTTTAGTTTTCTTTTCAGGTGCAGATATTCATTCCTAGCTAGTAGGTAAGTACTACAGTCGAGTCCATATTTCTTTTTGATTTTCTTTAATAGTCTTCCTTTTTTGTTGCAGGTTTTCCAACGCGCTTCCACCTCAGGCTCCCACCAGTATGCATTTTTCTTCCGATTTGCTGTACACTTATAAGATAAGTATCTCTCTGCTATATTATTTAGTATTCTATTAATGTTTTCCGCAGGGCTAACTTCCGTGGATGCTCCCCAACTCATCGGGTCTTTACACGCCTCAATTATAATTAACTTATATTTTTCTATTCTTTTCAGATTCCAGCGGGGCACCCCACTTAGCGTAGGAGGACCTTCAATGCCGGTAAGTAAAACGTCGAACCTTATATATTTATGGTCGCTTAACGTTTCTTCGTCTAAAACTCCCCAATTACAAATATACTTTGTTGTTTCTGCAGAGCCCAGGGTAATATCTACCACAGATTCCCCTAAGGAACTAACGTATGTAGAAACTCCCATGTTATTATAGCATGTGAAGTTTTCCACTAGAACCCATTCCCCGATAATTTCCCCCCGTCTATCCTGACTGTTTCCACCAGAGATGTTACTGTGTGCATTGAAATCTCCCGTAACAATCAAATTGCGCTTTCCTTTCTCCATCATGGTCTTTATATTCCTTGTAAGACTATCCCATGTTTCAATAAAATGTGCTAAGTTCACATTAGGAGATATATACACCGAAACCAAAACAAAACCCTTCACCTCGACAATCACATAATCCCTACATACCATCAATCCCTTACAGGCTAAGTCCTTTCCTTTTATAATAATAGCAGCTTTTTTATCGATGCTCCAAAAGCACCTCAAATTCCCTATTTTCCTAGGCGGTTCTGAAATTAAAGCGATCTCCAATCCCTCCCTATTCATTTTTTGAGTTAGGAGGTCAAGAGCTCCATATGCATTATTTAAATTAACTTGAATGCATTTCAAACCTTTAACCCCGTCCATAGAGTTACCAAAAATATTTGTATTAGGCATTTAATATTCAAATTTCCTCTTCTATACTACTTTCCCACTGAAAGCTAGTGATCTTCGCCAGTGTTGTTCTCACCTGTTCCATTGCCTGTGTTAAATCCAATTCTAAAGACTTCTCCCCATCCCCTCTTAAACTCCTATCTTTATCTCCACTAACCCTCCCCGTTCCATTAATCCCTTTCCCTTCTTTAACCCTTTCCTGCTCCCTACACTCCTGGGTAGAATGTCCGGTCCTTCTACATTTCCAACATCTTAATAATATACGTGAGTACCTCGCTACCCTGGCCCTGGTCCAGCCCATCTTAATTGTACCTTTTTCTATAAGCAACTCAGCTGCCTTAATTGGCAGCTTTAATATTGCCGTCTGTTGAGTAGTCTGCTCCTTAAAAAATCGAGCAACCTCTATCGCGCTCTCTTGAATTCCTATCCCTTCTAATTCCTGGACGACTGCCTGTACCACTTCCTCCCTACTCACAAGTGGGTCAATACCTCTGATGCTTAACCCTTCTCTAGGCTCCAAACATCTTACCCTGCCAACGTCTTTTAATTTCTCCTCAATTTGTTTTGCCCAACTATCTCCATCTTGTCCTTGCATTAGTTCAATTAAGATCCCCCCGGGTCTCGCCTCCCTAATTTCTTTAATGCGTAAATCTTTGGGGGAATCCACCCTTTTCCTTAAGTCCTGCAGATTCTCCTCGTATTTCCCCGAGCTATATTTAATAAAAATAGCTTTGCTCTTATGTTTCCTGACATCCTTCTTTGTACCCTTTTCCGTCTCCTTTCCCCTATCTTTCGAATCCAGCCCCCCTCCCTGGCCTATACCCTTCTCTTTACTAATCCTATTCTCCCTCCTACCTACCACCACCTCACTCCATCTAGGTGTGGATTGCTGTATTGCTATTATCTCCTCGGTTTGCGTACCAATTGTCCTTTACCTCCCTCTTACCGTTTCTTCTATTTCCCCCTCCTCTGCTCCCCCATGTCCCTGTTGAGACAACAACTGATTCTTCGACCTGTTAATTTCCTTAGAAATTAGGGAGCTTTGATCCTCCACTAAGTCCTCTTGCCTACCTCTATGAAACTCCTCACTTCCCTTACTCGGTGCATTAATGCCTAGAGCCCTATCCTTATCTCCTATCCAGCCAGGGCCTCTCTTCTCAGCTTGATTACTAATCCCTTGACTACCACAATCCCGCTCAAAATGCCCCTCCTTTTTACACCGGAAGCAAATTTTATTCTTAAGTTTGCAGGTCCAAGCTAAGTGATTCCTCGCGCCACACCTATAGCATTTTCTCTCATCAACATATTCCCCAATTCTACACATTACCCACCCTATTCTTATCCTACCAGCCTCTATCATTGTCCTCGCTATATCTTCCCTAGCATCTACACAAGCTGTCTTTACCCCAACCCTAT